AATTCCAACCTCGAGCTAGGAAAGCTGTCTTTCTAGGTTATCCCTCTGGCATTAATGGATACAGATTGTATGATCTATCCAATCATGAAACATTCATATCCAGAGATGTCATATTCTTTGAATCTCATTTCCCATTTACATCAGAATCACAGACTGACAACAACCCTACACCTTCAGATCATTTCGTCCCTATTCCTAGTCCAGACTCTCATCTTGTTCATGATGATTTCATTCCCTCACCTCCAATTTCACCAGTCACTACACCAGATCCCTCTCCTACACCACTGCCAGAACAAGATCCTACACCTGCAACACCAAATCCTTCACCACCACCTTCCCCACCACCACCACCTAATACATCACCATCTCCTCCTCCTTCTCCCCCACCACCTCTTCCAAGAAGGTCAGATAGAACTCCAAAACCTCCTGCTCACCTTGTCAAAAACTACCACTGTTTTCTCTCTCAGGGACCTAGCAGCATCACTCACTCCACCCTGCAGCAGATTCAAGAATCAAGGTATTCTTTCTCTTTCATGCTCTCTTATGATAAACTGTCAACACTACACAAAAATTTTCTCCTCAACATTTCCAGTCACCATGAACCCCAAACATACAAGGAAGCAGCAAAACATGCAATCTGGAATGATGCAATGCAGTTGGAAATCAAGGCTTTAGTCAAAAATCGTACCTGGGATGTTGTCCCTCTTCCACAGGGCAAGAAACCTGTTGGCAACAAGTGGATTTACAAAGATAAGTTTCTCTCAGATGGTTCACTTGAAAGGCACAAGGCCAGATCAAAGGGCTACACTCAACAAGAAGGAGTGGATTACCAAGACACCTTTGCACCTGTCATTAAAATGACAACAGTGAGAACCTTTCTTGCTATTGCAGCAATGAGGAATTGGCATATTCACCAATTGGACGTGAATAATGCATTTCTCCATGGAGACCTCAATGAAGAGGTCTACATGACTCTTCCAAAGGGTTATGATCCTCCTCTTGATATTCCTAATCCAATTTGCAAACTGAGAAAGTCTATCTATGGCCTAATGCAAGCTTCAAGGCAATGGTTTTCTAAGCTCACAAACAAACTCCTGCAGGTTGGATATGTTCAAAGCAAGGCAGACCATTCTCTTTTCTTCAGGGTTACAGATACCAGTTACACTTGCATTTTGATTTATGTTGATAATCTAGTATTGGGAGGCAATGATATATCAGAGATTGAACATCTAAAACAAGTCCTACATGATGAATTCAGCATAAAGGATCTTGGTACTTTGAGATTTTTCTTGAGCATTGAGGTAGCCAGGAACAAAACAGGCATTCATTTATCTCAGAGGAAATACACTCTAGAAATTCTTGAGGAAGCACAAGTACTTGATTCAAAACCAGTTTCTACACCTATGGATTACAAACTACATCTCAGCAATGCTACAGACAGCCCCTTTGAAGATCCAGAGCTCTACAGGACACTAGTTGGAAAATTGATCTATCTCACTACTACTAGACCTGACATTGGGTTTGCTACTAAGAAACTAAGTCAATACATGTCCAAGCCAGCCACAACACACTTCAAAACAGTCCTTCAAGTTCTGCGTTATCTCAAAACAGCACCAGCAACTGGTCTGTTCTTCCCAGCTAAAGGCAGCTTCCAACTCAAGGCATTCACAGATTCTGATTGGGCAGCATGTGTTGATACTCGGAGATCTACCACAGGTTTTTGCATCTATCTAGTGGATTCATTGATTTTCTGGAAAAGTAAGAAACAACATACAGTTTCTCGATCCTCTTGTGAGGCCGAGTATCGAGCTCTAGCCCACACAGCTTGTGAGATACAATGGATTCAATTCCTTCTCCAAGACTTCCAGGATTCTTCTTCAACTCCTGCTGCCTTGTATTGTGACAATCAGAGCGCGATTTACATCGCCAAAAACCCCACCTTCCATGAGCGAACAAAGCACATAGAACTGGATTGCCACTTCGTCAGAGAAAAGATTCAAGCCGGCTCCCTCAAAGTGCTCCATATCTCCTATGTGCATCAGCTCGCCGACTTGTTCACCAAACCCCTTTCACTAGCTCCATTCCTATCCCTGCTCTCCATGCTTGGTGTGTGAAACCTCTGCCCACCAGCTTGAGGGGGGGGGGGTAACAGATTCAAATCTTCAACGGTACATTTGCTCCACGACGACGTTTTGCCATACCAAACTCCACTTGACGAGACGATGGCGTTTTAACCTCAGCTCTCATTTCTTCTCAAGACGCTGTCGTTCTTGCTTTCCTTTACTATCGAATCTTTTCTTTTCTTCCAAGCTTGTTTAGTTTCCTTTCCAAGCTATCAAACAAACATGTAATGGAGCTTGTCTTCTTCTGTATTTGTCAAGCCTATAAGAGGCAAAACCAGCAATGAGAATCACAAGTTTAGGGTTTCAATTTACTCTCCACTTCGTCAATAATCTTGAATCCGCAATTCAAACCCTTTCTCTAATCCCACGTATCAATTACAAATCCAAGATTTCAAGCATCACACCAAGGTAGACGAAAAGCCTAAATAAGAGAAGAATTAGTGAAGTAGATAGAATATTTATTTTAATGTTTCTTCAGTCACAAAATTGAATTAAAAAAAACTAACCTAATGGTCCCCTCTTATCTTCTTCCTCTCGGCAGAAGGTACTCTCTGCGTCCAGAAGAGCCTCGTGTTCACCCCGTAGAGTCGAATTCGTCGGAGAAGATGTATCAATTTTATGGGAGAACTTGACCCACCGCCTCTCCTCCGACCTCGGCATCACTCCAGTAGTCGTCTCCTTTCTCCTTCGGTACTCTCTGTCCAGGCCCTAGATTCAAGGAGTCGGAGATAATAGGAAGAATGGACTGCTTGCTCCTCAAATCCAGCCTTCTTGCTCCTTATCCACTATTGCCGCCTTGCTGGAGAGGTTCCTCATGAATCAAAGAGTTCAATGATATTTTGATAGCTTAAATAGAAAAATAGAGCAAATCCATTAAAGCAAATACAATCCAGGAGATAGTTAATGGCAATGAAACCAAAAAACTTAGATGGATGAGGCACGACCAAAACCCAAAAAGAAAATACGAATTGATCGCTTACCAATGGAATATTGCAAGGAACCCTTTCCAAATTGACCTTTTCTCCGCTCTGATCATCTGGATTTGATTCACCTAGCGAGCAGGTAAACTGGAAGAATCCTCTACCATGGATGGCGCTCGGAACCCTCAAATCAACGAAAAACTCAACAAAAGAAAGTAATCGATCCGCCTTGAGAGTGAGAGATGAGAAGGAAGTTGAGAGAGAAACAATATTCATCGAGATTTCAGAGATAGAGAGAGAAATCGAAAATAAAAAAGGGGAAGAATGCAGAGCGACAGAGCTAGCTCTTTTATCTCGTCTCTCACCTCCTCCTCCTAAAAACCTAAGCTCTTCTCTCAACTACACAATCGATGATAGTGCAACCAAGAACTTTCTGACAGCTTCTCAGAAATCGAAAGGGCAATTGGATATAGCTAGATCCCTATCCCCTCTCGACTAATTGATCAGAAGAGGCTACCTCCTGCTCTCTGACGTCTGACTCAGCTTCTCTCATCAGTCCCCTCAACTGTCTTTCCAGACTCAGTAAGTACGCCCAGTCTAGAGTCTCTTTTCCCTCGGCCTTAGCAACCGACACAACTCCCAAGTCCCACCCCAAAGACCCTGACCTGCAAGCCAACTCCTTTCAATCAACCTTTCACTCCCTCTCATGACCCTCTCAAGGAAAATTGACTGGCTGCCTGAAATCCATCCAATCACGCAACTGTGCAGGCTCCAGTCACTGAGAGGGCTCTGGTGACCAACGCATTCGAGAACCCCAATTGATCCAACAGGCAAACACAGCCAACGACCAGTTCCACCCCAACCGACCCACCAAACTCCCGTCAAAATCCAAAGAGCCCTCACCCAACTCCAGCCCACACAGAGATTGCTTCCGGGTTATAACAGTACATCTCGGTCACGGTGACCAGTAAAAGCAGTCTGCGTGTACAGTACATGGGCATGCGGTGGGATTTTATCTTTCAATTATAGTAAATCATATGTGATGGCCGCGAGGGCTTTTTTCACCAATTGGTCACGCACATATTTAAGTCATATCAGCGTAATTTGATTTTAAAATGGGTACAAAAAATTTTTGGTGACCATTGGTGATATTCATAAACACATGAAATTGCGGTGTATCATTGTAGCATATGCCTGAAGTATGTTGATATATATTTCATTAATCTCAAAGTATAGGAACATTTCACATGAATAAGTTGTTACGACTATGTTTTTAACTTAGCAAATCATCACTTTTACTTCATACTATTATCTCTTAATGATTTAGTAAGCACACAAAAAAATGTTATTCTAGTACATCGCAATAAGAGTGTATTAGTTCAGAAATTTATAGTAGCTCTTTTTTCTAAAAAATTGCAACATGAATATATTGGTCCACATATTTGTAGTAGTTCATACAAACAAAATATTAATTTTTTCATGTTTTAGAATATGAAAAAGGTTATTCTTTGCTTTTTCATTTTTCAATTTTAAAAGAAAATCACATTTCAAATTATGCAAACGTTTAGAATTGTGTACCAACTAAATTCATGCTTTTCAGATTTTTTATTTTTTCTAAAAAAAAATTATAAAAAATTATCAAACATATTATAAACTAAAAATTTGAAAATAGGTTTTTTATAGTTGTTAATGATTTTTTATCATTGCTAAAAAAATAGAATACAAATTTTTATCTGTGATAGTTTTTTTAGTGTAATGTACAAAAGTCAACCATTATATAAGAATAGAATATTATGTATTGTAGGGGAGTTCTACAGTACCCAGAGTGAAATCGGGGGTACTGCCTACCTTGAGTAAGAAAACGCTATCCAGAACTTGAATTGACTGATCTTTCGGACATGATACTATACTCTAACCCCTTAAAGATCAAAATCTAAGTCTTAATTCTCTAAATCTTATACCCCAAGATCAATTTAATTAGAAACAATAATCAATGCACCATCTTAGGGTTTATAGTTTATGATTTAGATCATTAGGACCTAGGGTTCATTCATTAAGGGTTAGGGTATAGTATCATGCCCCAAAATTCTGGTAATTTGAGGTCTAGATAGCGTTTTCATACTCAAGGTATGCGGTACCCCAGATTTCACCCGGGGTACCATAGAAGGCACCTGTATTGTATTTTTTTTTTATCACATGAGTATTAATCTTGTTGTGATAAATTGCATGGAATATATCTTATTCTATTGTGAAACTACTGAAATTGTTACAGTTTGAGCTCCTAGTTTGCACGATCAGATCCTAGTTATGATTATTCATAGACATGTTTTGTTGGGATTAATACCATCAAATATAATTAATCCTACCAGTTGAATGCTTGAAATGATGATAATTGAGCTCATAGGTCACATGTTCAAATCTTGGTCATGATGATTGATATACATGTTTATTAAGTGTTATTTTAATATAATTAATAACTTGAAAAATGATATGAAAATTGTGAAGCTTTCTGTCCTAGGTGGCAAAAAAACTTCTTCACAACGACCATAATATAAGTTAAGAGATAAGATAGCAATTAGTGTTAGTCTCTCTTTCTCATTAATTTCTCCCCGACACCCTACCCACATTAATTATTCTTAAAACCGGTAGCTCAATTAGTACAATATTGTCCGATTTGGACCAAACTCATACGTACCTACTTATGGTTTCCTTTTCAAAATTTCTCGTACTAATTGAGCTTGGTGGACACTAATATACTAGGTTCATTCTCCTGGTATTTTCGATTTGGTACTTGGATTGCACTATAACAATCATCCCCTCAAGAGAAGGACCACAAACTTCGTGTCCTCCCCTTAGCGATTATCTTGGTCCACCAGACACCTTGTATCGACAGACTCTTCGACACAAAGATTTACTAGATGCATAGCTTCATTGATATGCTAGACAAACGCATATCTTCCTCGATCCGCCAAACAAACAGAAATCTCAAAATTTCGAAGTCACCGAATGGGGATCCACCGAACTGACGTCCACCGCCCTGAATCCAAACCAAACCATGCTCTGATTACCTTGTACTAATTGAGCTTGGTGGACACTAATATACAAGAGTAATTTGCTTTGTATTTTCGAACAAGTATTTGAATTGTACCATAATAATCCTCCCGTCAAGACAAGGACTTTCGTGCCCTCCCCTCGCCGATTATCTTGAACCGCCAGACAACTTATATCGACAGCCTCTTCGATAAAATAATTTACCATATGCATATATCCATTGATATGCCAAACATATGCAAATCTTCCTTAATCTAGCAAACAAACCCATATCTCAAATCTCTAGGTCACCAAACGAGGCTCCCAGTCCCACCAAACTAATATCCACCACCCCATATTCAAATAGAATCAGACTCCGATACCACTTGTCTTGACCGGGCAGCTCCATTAGTACGATATTGTCCGCTTTGGTCCAAGTCTGCAAATATTTACTTTTAAGTTCCTTTCCAAAGGCATTGCACTACTTGGGCTTGATGAACATTAATATACAATGGTTATTTTCATTGTATTTCCAATATTGTATTTGAATTGCACCATATTTTGCGTCGGTATTTCCTTCCGTAGAATATTAGTGTTAATCTCTAATTTGGCATTCCTCTGCTCACATTCATTGGATCAAAATGATAAATGGATGGTTAAGATATAGGTTGTCACTGTACAAACCCTTATAAGGTTTGCACATATCATATTCTAGTTTTTTACCTGTAAAATATATATAACATAATTTTTATTACAGGATTGTGCATTAACTGCTTTTATTCATTGTTCAAAGAAGAAAAAAACTATCGTTTATGTAAAGTTCACACTTGAATTCTGAACTGAAAAATAAACACAGTGAAGAAGAATGAAACTGAAACTGATAAAAAAGAGTTTTAGTAGATGATAACGCGGTATGGATAGAACTGTTTCCATGTAAATGGTAGTTCATAAAATTATACATAACTTATTCTCGACAAATTAACAAAACAACAATATGATTGTGGTTTAATTAGTAGCATACAGATTTGATGTTACAGTTAAAATGACATTCGATTGGCAATATAACAATATGCTACAAATCGAAACTCACAAAATCAATCTAAGACATCAAACACAGACAATTAATGTTGTGGTGTGTACCGGTCACGGTGGATACAACATGGCATGGGAATTCAATTCATCGCATGTATGTAGTAAACACAATGCAGATGTCCAAAAAAGAATTTCACGAACAAGAAAGCGAAAAAAAAAAGCAAAAAATGTGATCAACTCGCTGCCACATAACTCAATGAATAACAAACTGAGTCAAAGACACCCCATTGCCATTGGCAAAAGTTTTTATTATTATTCTTTTTTCTACTTCAAGCTCTGATAGACTGATGATACAGCGAGAAGAATACGCAGATTCTCAGGCATTAGATGCCAAAATCCCCGATTTTGCCTGCCCAATTTGATTTTGCAGCCCTTCCCTTTAAAACCACCTGCTTCTTTCTCGACCTCTCCCTTCTGCTTTCTTCTTACACAGAAGAGACGAGAAGATCTACTCTTTTAACCCCCTGAAAAAAGAAATCGGAAATTCATCCTCCTTGTCTCCTCCCACTTTCCACCTACTCCACAGCAGCCCCGAGATATATATAAAAAAAAACCCAAAGAAAGGCAAGCCACGCGAGATTGTTCATATTCTTCTGGTTGGTCTGGGATTAGTTAACTACACATTTGCGTAACTGGAGAGGGCTTTTTCTGGTGTTGTTGATTTCGTGCTCTGTTATTCTTTCTTCCTTCCTTCCTTCCTCATCCGCGTGTTTTTGTCTCCTCATCCTCCATCCCCCCTTGCATTCTTTATTTTCTCGTGGTGGTTCAACTCCCCCCGCCTTAACCAGTTTGATCCTGAAAGCTTGCCTGCCCCTTTTCTTCACAAAGTTCCAGTCTTTTTTACGTGTTCGACCTACCTGTCCATTCGAGGAACTGGGGGTTTTTTTGAATTGGGTAATCAATTGGCAAAGTCGCATAGTTTGCCACTCTTTTTGGAACTGTGCTCGTTTCTGGAATAATCATTTCGGAGGTGAGGGGATGATTCTGAAGTTGAGCCCTCCTCATCAGCCAGGGTAGGGAAACTGTTCTTTTTTTGTGTGTGTTCTGCGTTTTGGAGAAATGGGCCGCCGTTAAAGTTGGAGCGGAAACGAGCGTTAGCGTCTTCCCCGCCATACCCAATGGATCTGGAGACGGGAGCTCATCGTAATCATCTTAAGGTGAGATGGGTATTACTTAGTGCTCTGTTTTAAACCGCTGGCATTGATTGCATAGAAGTTTCTGGTTCTATTTCTCAGTCCTTCCTAGTTAATTGGCAGAAAAATTCAAGGTTGATTCTTGAAAACTGAGCGCCTCTCTTGTTACTGTTCTTGTGTTCTTTGGCCAGCAGAAGGAATCATGGCGGACGGTGTTGACTCTGGCGTACCAAAGCCTAGGAGTGGTGTATGGAGACTTGAGCACATCGCCGCTGTACGTTTACAAGAGCACATTTGCGGAAGATATTACGCACTCGGAGACGAACGAAGAGATCTTTGGGGTTCTGTCATTCGTCTTCTGGACACTCACCCTCGTCCCTCTCTTGAAATACGTGTTCATAGTTCTCAGAGCCGACGACAATGGCGAAGGAGGGACGTTTGCCCTCTACTCGCTGCTGTGTCGGCACGCCCGAGTCAACGCGCTCCCCAATCGGCAGGTGGCGGATGAGGATCTGTCCGAGTACAAGAAGAAGGACAACCTTATTGCTACTTCCGGTTCGAAAAACCCGAGTTTTGGGTCGAGCTTGAAATCGACTCTGGAGAAACACAGGGTGCTGCAGAGGATCTTGCTGGTTTTGGCCTTGATTGGGACTTGTATGGTCATTGGCGATGGCGTTCTCACCCCTGCCCTTTCTGGTAATGTTTCCACCATACCCTTTTTCTGGGGTTTTCGTTTTTTCTCTAATCGATTGATGGCTTCGTTTTCTTGCTTGGACAATTATTTTTGTGTGGGGGTGTTTGATGTGATTGTGTGGTGATGGTAACTTCGTTGATGTGGCGCTTCCATTTTGGTTTGCAGTTTTCTCTGCAGTCTCGGGGGTTGAGCTTTCATTGTCAAAGGAGCATCACAAATGTAAATTATCATTTCTTTCTCCTTCTCTTATGACCATTCATTTTCCTTCTCTGGAATTTCTCAGCCCACTGCTGCCATGCCATGAGAAATCAACATTTGTAACAAGTTGATCAAGCTTGACTTGTTTGATACTTGAGCTGCCGTTCCTATCATCTAGCAGAATAGTTTGAATCTTGGACTGGTTTTACTTTTTGACTTGCTTTGAGTTCCCTGCCAACCGCATCATGGAACTTTCAAGTTTCTTCCTTTTTCTCGGGACAGTGTGGAATCCTCTATTTGTAAAGTCACGTTTCTGTTGTCGGTTACCTTTTCCTATTCAAGAATGACCTAATCTGACTTGTCTGCTTCTGGCTTGTAGCTGTGTAGCTAGCTAGTAGCTTCATCACCAGACTTGAGCTTTCCAAGCCTCAACTAGTGAATTATTTTTCATTAAACTGCTTGTGTTCTTGATTGATCACAAGAACTTAACTGTTACATTGTATGAATGTGCAGATGTTGAACTCCCAGCTTCATGCGCTATACTTATAGCGTTGTTTGCCCTACAACATTATGGGACCCACCGGGTCGGATTCTTGTTCGCACCAGTGGTTCTGATATGGCTTCTGTGCATCAGTGGGATTGGGATATACAATATTGTGCACTGGAATCCCCATATCTACAAAGCACTATCACCATATTACATGTACAAGTTCCTGAAGAAAACTCAAAAGGGTGGATGGATGTCATTAGGAGGGATTTTGTTGTGCATAACAGGTTCATTTTCATCCACAATTATTCAGGTTGTTGAAGCCTTTCTAACATAAACTGAATACTGTGGATAATGTCCTAATTCGCTTCTTTTTCATCATTTAGGCTCAGAAGCTATGTTCGCAGATCTGGGGCACTTTTCTCAGTTGTCTATCAAGGTATACAAGAACTTTTTCATTGTCCATTGTAAAATCACGACGATTTCAGTGTTATTGTTTCACTCACTGTTTTTCAGCTTGTTAAGTATATAAGAATTGGATGTTTCCCTCTTTGGCATTGACGAATCACGTTATTGTGCAGATCGCTTTCACCTCTTTGGTTTATCCATCGTTGATCCTTGCTTACATGGGGCAGGCTGCATATCTATCGACGCACCATGTGATAGAAAGTGATTACCAAATTGGTTTCTATGTATCTGTACCTGGTATGTACCTTGAGTGACTCATTTTCATATAGCTTGTGTATCTATCTCCATTTCCAAATTCTTAGCTAACTGCAGTTCTACTGATGCATTGTTCTCAGATAAACTAAGGTGGCCAGTTCTTGTCATAGCCATACTTGCTGCAGTGGTGGGCAGCCAAGCAATCATCACAGGGACTTTCTCAATCATTAAACAGTGTTCATCCCTGGGTTGCTTCCCTAAAGTCAAAATAGTCCACACGTCATCCAAAGTCCACGGCCAGATCTACATCCCTGAGATAAACTGGATTCTAATGCTGCTTTGTTTGGCTGTTACAATCGGTTTCAGAGACACCAAACGCCTGGGAAATGCTTCAGGTAGAGAATAACACAAGTGATAAAAGCTTTTAATACATAATTGTATGAATATAGTAGTAACTTTAAGTACTTTTGCTTCACTTATGTGGAACAGGTTTGGCGGTTATTACAGTTATGCTGGTCACAACCTGCCTAATGTCTCTGGTAATCGTCTTATGCTGGGAAAAGAGCGTGTTGCTAGCAATAGGCTTCGTGTTCTTCTTTGGCACGATTGAAGCGCTTTACTTCTCAGCTTCCCTCATCAAATTTCTGCAAGGAGCCTGGGTACCCATTGCACTGGCATTCATATTCCTGCTCATCATGTGCGTGTGGCACTATGGCTCCCTAAAGAAGTACGAATTCGATGTCCAAAACAAGGTATCCATCAACTGGCTGCTTAGTTTGGGTCCTAGCCTTGGCATTGTTCGGGTAAGAGGGATAGGCCTCATCCAAACCGAGCTTGTGTCGGGAATTCCAGCAATCTTCTCCCATTTTGTCACCAACCTTCCAGCATTCCACCAAGTCCTGGTGTTCCTCTGCATTAAATCAGTCCCCGTCCCCCATGTGGGACCCGAGGAACGGTTCCTAATAGGCCACATCGGCCCAAGAGAGTACAGGCTGTACCGGTGCATAGTCAGATATGGGTACCGTGATGTCCACAAAGATGACACAGAGTTCGAAAAGGATCTGGTGTGCAGCATAGCAGAATTCATACGAGCTGGGAGCACTGAATTCAATGCTGACATGCCAAAAGAAGAAGATGACAAGATGACAGTGGTGGGTACTTGCTCATCTAACGCTGCTGGGATACGATTGAGGGAGGAGGACAACGAAGAAATAGAAACAGACCCTGGAACCTCAGAGCAACGGGAGATAAAGTCACCACCTCCAGCAATGCAACTGAAGAAACGAGTAAGATTCATTGTCCCGGAGAGCCCCGAGATCGATAAAGCTGCAAGGGAAGAGTTGCAGGAACTCATGGAAGCCAGGGAAGCAGGGGTTGCGTACATACTCGGGAACTCGTACGTCAGGGCAAAGCAAGGATCCAGCATGTTGAAGAAGTTTGTGATAAACTATGGGTACGAGTTCTTGAGGAGGAACAGTAGGGGCCCTACACATGCCCTTACTGTACCTCATGCATCTACCTTAGAAGTAGGGATGATATACAATGTCTGAAAGCGAAAGTTTTGACCTACTGATACCAGTTCTTAGAGGTGTGTCCGTGTCTGTATTTATATGTACATCCTGTAATCTTTTGAGGTTGTTATAATGAGTACAAGTGGGAAACAAGGCCACCATATGTTAGAAAATGGTGGAATCATAATCATACATACTACGTATAAAAAGCAGTTCTTGTACAATTTGTGGAATTCCTTCCAACTTCATCGTTATCAAATTTCAACTTGACAATGAGCAAGGAACCAACTCCATGCCATATGGACGTTGGAACCAACTCCATACCATATGGACGTTTTTGGCGAGAAAAACTCTGGTGTTTGAACTCAATTAATGCACTTTGACTTCTTGAACAATGAAAATCAACACGATTCACACCTCTTTGAAACGAGGGTGTTTGATGTTTTTATGGTTTTTTGGAAACAAGCTACGTTAATTACACATATTCCTATGGAAGTTCAATGAGAGTTCCGGAAACTAAAAGTTATGACTAATTTGCAGAGAAAAAGATAAAGTTTGATATAGTGTGAAACCCTTGCTTCGTCTTCGTTTCTCCTATTTATGGCCATCCCTCGTAGCCGCCATGTAACTGCCTCTTTTAACCACTCCTTCCCATGTCTAGTGCTTGATGTAGATTGCTTTGATATCTTAACTACCTTGCATGCTTGCTGACCACTTGGTATCTTGATAGATTGATGACTTCACTTGGCAGGTAGCCACCTAGTGTCGTGGAGGTATCATGTGTGGCTTCATCTTGATGTTAGATGCATTGATGATACTCATGCTGACCACCCTTGCATGATGTTATGCTTGGCACCAAGGTGCTTGGATGGTTGATGGATGCACATTGACCCCCTTGGGGTGACATCATACTTGCAGGGTTTTGACAAGGTGGTCTACCATGTGAAGATATACATGGATGATACTTAGAAACTTAATAACCTTGTCTACAGAGTACCATGCACGACTATGATCACTTGAGTTCGTGCAGATTATTGTCAATGGTTAGCACGTGTCAACAACTACCCTATCCTAAGCCAAGTTTAACCTAAGATGACGTTGTCGTAGAGTGGTAATCAAGATCGTATTTTACTCGAGTCCTGGTATCCTAGCCTACTTCCCGCCTTATTGTTAATTAGTTAATCAGTTTTGGAGGTTTGAGTGTAGGATTTGAGGGAATTACTAGTTTAGAGATCGAATAAAGCTAAAAGCAGGTACTTCAGGGAACTATTCCTCATCCTAGTCTAGGGCTACTATGTAAGTCTAGATACTTAGGGTTATCGAATGTGGTGAGTGAGCTCGTTTCCGTGGGCTTTCGTGGTTATCCACACACCTCCGAGTACGCCTCCCCTAGACCTATATATAGTCACCTCGATCTAGGCTATCTTCTCTGGGGCATTAAGCTCGTAGCTCCTTTCAATGGATACTATCCACCGTCCACACCGAGGTTTTATCCTGGGTTCTATCTAGGAAGGCTACCTATAGCAGGGTCGGTCGCCTTGACTACCATAGGTCCCTATTCGTATATCTATCTCGATTTTCTTGTGGCGCATACCCGTCTAATGGTAGAACTTCATACCCAGCGTAGAAGCATAAAGTAAGCTAATAGAGAAGATTAAGGCGACTTACTCAAACACAATCAAGGATAGAATAACAATAGAATCAACTAGATAAACACATTCATTCATTCAAACCCTAAAATATCCATATATACATAGTAAACCCTAAAACTAAGGTTTGGGTTTTAGAACCCCTAGTACCTTAGAGGACTACGTCATAAAGGAGGGAAGAAGATACATAGAAGAAATTGAAAAAGACTTGAGGTCGTGATTCGACTAGGGAAACTCTATGTTTCTCCTTGGCTCCTTCTTCGCGAAGTTCGCGCCCTGAGCCCTCCAATTTGCGGTCACGATCTTGGGATTCCAGGACGCAATCTTTAGCTTGACTTCGCAGTCCAGGATCTCGGACGTTATCTTCACTTCTAGGCCACGATCTTCAGTCTTCTGCCTCTTGCTACACTTGTAACCTTGTTTTATACCTAATTCGCATATATCATCTAATACACCCTAAAATCACATCGAATTCAAATAGGAACGATATAGGGATGCAATTAACAATGTTTAAGCATTTATGCACATGAATTGGCACGAAACAAACCTCAATATGAAAGGTAAATAACACCAGTTTATGTGTTATCAAACTCCCCCACACTTAGGCGTTTGCTTGTCCCCAAGCAAACCTACTCAAACTTTATGCAACATGATAGACAAATCAATGGGAGAATGCACCCTAGTTCTTCATTGCATAAAGAAGAGTAGACGGAGATGAATGGGCGTTGCTATCATCTTACTATGCAAGCACAAACTCTCGGGTGAGGACCAGTTTATGTGTTATCAAACTCCCCCACACTTAGGCGTTTGCTTGTCCCCAAGCAAACCTACTCAAACTTTATGCAACATGATAGACAAATCAATGGGATAATGCACCCTAGTTATTCATTGCATAAAGAAGAGTAGACGAAGATGAATGAACATTGCTATCATCTTATTATGCAAGCACAAACTCTCGGGTGAGGACCAGTTTATGTGTTATCAAACTCCCCCACACTTAGGCGTTTGCTTGTCCCCAAGCAAACCTACTCAAACTTTATGCAACATGATAGACAAATCAATGGGGGAACGCACCCTAGTTCTTCATTGCATAAAGAAGAGTAGACGGAGATGAATGAACGTTACTACCTTAGGCCAAACATTCAAGGTGTTCTCTGGGGGATTCTCTAACACAAATAAGCACAAGAACTCTCGAAGGTGCTCTTTATTCTCTCTTTAGATTTAGGATTTTTCGTTTATTGGTCTCATTTTTCAACGTTGACGCGCATTGCACCAAGCTTTTGCAATTCTTTTGAAAATAAGCATCTCTCCCTCATATGATCAAGGGCGAATGAATCATAGCCTTCCCTTTCAAGGTCACATGTGGGGAAGTTGATGGGCGGATTCGTCTTAGCCCGAGCACCACTTCCCAGCCTGCACTCCACATTGGGTTGCCACACATGTCGGGTACAAACGAGAGCTTTGAGGTCTCATGAATCGCTAAAAAGTACCTTGGACCTTGGCATACAATTCCGTGAGAAGGAAAGATGCATGGGGGATGGTAAGTAGTGAAAGATGGTCGGGACGCGGTAAAGCTATTTGATCCCCAAGCATATCCTCAAAGGGCACTCTGAATCCGTGAGGATTGGTTTCCTCTCATGTGAGCCTCTTTTTCAAAAGATTTTTCTCTCTTTTCTTTCTTTTCTAATGCGCACAAATCTTTAAAAGCTTCGAGTTCAAAAATCAAATAAAGCAAAAGAGACACATGTTCTTCCAAAGATGACACATATTACTGACTCATAAAAGAGGAAGAAGATAGTAAAATAACCCACACACTTGTACTCTAATCATGCAACTGTCACTTGAGGCCCACGTTTTGTGGCCTACTATAACACGGAATATAATTAACAACCGCCTCCCCTCCCCCTCAAATTGATGTTGGTTTCATAACATCAATTTGGAAGAGAGATACCAATTTCTACTCAAGCTTACTGTCTTGGTTAACAAATATGCACTATGATCCTCAGTCGTCAAATAAGCAAGTTGTATGACTCGCTCTACTACCAGTTGTCATATAAAATTAACATGTACCTCAATGTGTTTTGTTCTCTCATGATTAACTGGATTAATTAATATTTGAATTGCACTTGTATTGTCATCATAAAGTCTCATAGGTAAGCAACACTCAACTTCCAGTTCTTGAATGAGCGTGGCAACCAAACCAATTCTTGTGCCTAGGGGTGTTCAAACGGTGTGGTTACCATGGTAACTGTTTTAAGCAGTATAATTTGGATAATTGGTTTGGTTTGGTTAAAGTTTTTAGCTTGTTTGGTTTAGGTGGTTTGGTTTGGTTTCAGACACTCCTAACCAATCAAATCAAATTAACCAGATAAATAATTAGCCATAAATGTAATATGTACACATACTTAATACTTTGAATAACCACTCAAGAGTTAAACCTTCATCCCTTTTAGACTCATAAAATATAAAGCTTGATATTGTTCCTATAATGTACATTTGTATATGTAGAGTGTAGACCACAACAGATGAATGCCTCATTTAGATAAATCTCATACATTATGTTGGATGAAAACTTGAAAGCAAGGTCCTTTTCAGCCTATAAAAATTGCTAAAAGACTAAGTCAATTCAAACACAATAATTCATTAACCCATACCATTGTGATAAATTTTTGCTAGGTGAATACTTCTATACTAACCGTAAGATAATTGTCTTAGTTGCATATATTTTATGTTAAAGGTCAGCTATAACCAAGTGTTGATTGTCATGTTTTATTCATTATATAAATTGTGAATTGATAAATTAACCGAAATTTTCTTACTTAATGATAATGTGATTTAATATTGGTTAATCTGGTTAACCAATTAACCAAACGATTAAACTTTAGTTTGGTTAATTTGGTTGTTGTATTAGTTTGGACGGTTTGGTTATGATATGGTATTCTATGGTTAATGAAATTTAGCCTTATTTGGTTTGGTAATAACCATGGTAACCATTTGAACACCCCTACAGTCGTGCCTCTGACATTGACCTATACACAACTTTAGTCGATGACTCTGAAACCTTATCCTACACTCGGTACCTCCAAGAAACAAAATATTGACCAAGCCAAATGCACCATCCTGAGGTTGAACGTCTCATATCCTGACATCCTGTATAATCATCATTTAGACAGGTTTCAACAACTAGTTCACCTTTCAAAGAAAGAAACAATCCCACATCTCGAGTACACTTGAGATAACGGAGTAGTCTATGAGCTGCATCTAAGTGTGGGGCTCGTGCAACTCCATAAACTAACTAAAAAGATGCATTATATAATATATACGAAATGTCAGACCAAGTATGACTATGATATATCAAAATCTCTGCTATATTGCGGTACATAGTTTGTTCTTCGATAAGATCACCACCCTCTCTACTCAGCTTGAGATTCTGCTTGATAAGCGTAACACGAGGTTTGCAATCACTGAACTATGTCGAGACCAAAAGTTCGCCAATATACTTCTTCTGGCACATAAATAAACCCGATATGAAACACTGAATTTCTAGTCCCAAGAGGTAAGAAACATCGCCCATGTCTTTAAGATTGAATGCACTATCTAATGAGTGCTTAGGGTATCGAATCCCCTTCTGGTCACTCCCACTAATCACCATGTCATCAATATTTAGAAGTAAACAATAACACCACTCACAGTAAACATGAAACTTCTCAAACCAAGGTCGAGGAGCATGCTCGAGACCATACAAAAACAACGTCATTTACACACCACATCCACCCCTCCCTTAAAATAATCGGCAGGACACTCTGTTTAAATATCATTCTTAAGATCTCCATGGTGAAAAAACATTATTTTATGTCCAACTGAACCAGTAGTCAATTGCACATAGCAGCTATGGAAATTACCAATCAATCAGTCTACATTTTAACCAATGGACCCAATATTTCCTCGTAATCAATGACTCCTGTCAAAAACCTTGTGCAACAAAATTAGCTTTGCACCGTTCTAGCGTACCAACATGATTCATTTTGAGTTTTTTCCTCTTCCTACTATATCTCTTTCTATTTTTCATTTATCCCACCATATACTCTTACCAATAAATTCTTAATATTTCTAGAGTCGCATTGATTTTTTGTAAACAATTCATTTGATAAAAATTAGATTTACTTTTCATTGAATGTTAACAATCATAGTTGCCAAATAATGAATCTTTTTTATTTGTTTTTAACAATCTAAATAATTAGAATCATTGGATTGTTAAGTTACTAAAAAAATATTTAAACTCTCTCTCTCCCTCCATTGCCTCTAAGAGCATATCATCCACTGAGGACATTCAGCAAGTTCAAGCGGTGTTGAAACTTAACATGTGGAACCGGCTTTGTGAACATATCAACAGGATATCAACAGTGCCCGACTTTAGCACCTTAATCCTATTCTCCGTTCTCAATAAATTATACACATCGATTGTTTAGTCCTCTCATGATGGACTTGATCCTTGGCCAAACATATTGCACTCAATGAGTCACATAGTACACTACTGCTTGACCATGATATAAACCTAGATCAATATCCAACACCCTCAACCATATTCCCTCCCTGGTAGCCTTTGTGGTAGACAAAGTAACCGTCGGCTGCAACGTTGCCTTGAAGCTCACTATGGAACCTCCAAGAGTGAATACACAACCAGTCATAGATTTCCTTGTGTCAACATCCCCAACATAATCAGAATCTAAATATCTTTTCACTAAGCAATCTATATCACTTCTAAGAACTAATTCCCAAATCCCACTACAAAAGAAACAAGCTTCTACGACGGGAATGTGGCAGTAGGATTGCTCTCCCCTTGTTAGAAGTAAGATTTTTAAGGAGAAATTGTATTCCTGTCGTTATTGGTCCCAAAGCATAGCTTTAATGAGGGGCTTATTTTCCGCCTCACTAGTATAAAATAATTTCCCTCACTACTACTATATTAAGACCGCAAAAGTCCCCTCATTACTTTGTGAATTTTTTTAATGCGCCTAACTTTTTGACTTTAAAATTTTCAAATTTGAGTCGTTAGTTGGGGAAATATTTAGTGTGCCTAAATTTTTGGTTTGGAAATTTGTCTCCGGCAATCTCTACTTTTCCCCTCTTTGGCTTTATCGAATAAAGTAACCAAACCATTTACCTTCATTTTTAACCACAAAATCATATAAAAAGGTGTTCCCCTTCTCGTTATCCAGAGTCCAGACCCTCCTCACTACTCTCCGCCTCTTTCCCACTTCAGATCCACCCACATCCTTTAATGGCCGACCCATGCCTTACGCCTTTGCATATGCATATCCAATGTAGTTAAAATCGCGCTTTAAAACTTAAAAAACTTACGATTTTACGCTTCTAGGTTACTAAAACTCTTCTACACAAAATCTAAGTTTTTATAACTTATGTAGTTAAAAACTCCGCTTACTTAAGTACTTACGATTTTACGCTTCTACATCACCAAAACGTTTCTGCGTTGAAACTCGCTTTTAACTACATTGTGCATATCTACACATCTCTAAATCTTTCAAACATCCATCTACAGAATACTCCCTCTTGGTTATGTATTTATCTAAATCTCCATATTTGAAAACTAGAGTCCTCAACTCTATTTGTTACAAGTCTCTAATCGCACCTCCTGTCTGCCCACCTTCGGCAAGATTGTAGCTTCTCCTCCGGTCTCGAATCCGTTTATCATCAGGCCTTCCTCTGCCTCCCTCCACTCAATAGTTTGACAACAACGCTCCTGTTGGAATGAACAAAGCACAAGGGCATGAGGTCACTAAGAAAGGAGTAGTTAGATTGATTAATGCAAACTCAAGATGAATAGACTTTTGCAGTTGTAATGTGTATACTAGATTGACCGAAATACTATCTTCTGGTTCTACTTTTTCCCTTTTCTTTTGCTTGAATGACGAAAGTTTATGATTCTATTTGTATGACTAGAATATTTGGAATTTTAATCGTGTTTACCCCTTATGAAATCAGATTTGGAAGATTGGATAAATTTTGTTCGAGTTAGTGTAATCCAAGTGAATTATGGTGATGATAAAATTGGAGATCGGTCAATTAATAATTAAGCAAATTTTGGGATAGTTAATTGTGCACTAATGATGGAGGCTCCCACAATATTTTTTTATAATTTTATATATTAATTGCAAACACAACAGGAGGAAAGTGATCCCTCGTAGAAAGTTTTAATGATGGGGTGTAAACGTTCCCCTCGTTAATGACTTTTAAGGGCAAAGCCTACTATGATGGGAGGTTTCCCCTCATTGATGACTCTTACCGAGGGTTTTTGGGCTTTTAACGACTATTTTCTCCCCTTGTTAAAGTAACTTTTTTTAGTGTCAGTTTTACCCTTCAAGTAATGAAAGATCCTTTTCATGGCTTCCAATGTTCCTTTCCAAGTTGCATAAAGAACTTGATGCACTACAAAATGTTACTCGAGCCATGTACTCCTTCTCAGCTTCAGACGGTGGTGCATACTATGCGGATAGATGAATATTTGAAGCGCTAGGAGTATTTAAGGGCTTTGCTCGAGGCATGCTAAACCTGGACAATATCTTCTGGATGTAACTTTTCTGTGACAAGAAAAGCTTCTTCCGATCCCTTTTCTTGTAAATCTCCATACCCAAAATCTTTTTAGCAGCTCCCAAATACTTCATCCCAAACTCAACACTAAGAAGCCCCTTTAACGTCTAGACATCAAACTTCGATTTTGCTGCAATGAACATATTATCTACATACATAGCAAAATAGATCATCGAACAATCACCAGTCTTGCTATGATATACGCAATAGTCATATGGACTTCTGTCGTGTCACAACTCAAGCATATAACTGTCAAGCCTCCTGTACCACTACCTCGGAGATTGCTTAAATCCGTACAAGGAATTCTTCAACTTACAAACTTAATCTGCTTTTCTTGGAACCTGGAATCCATTTGGCTAAGTCATGTAAATTTATTCTTTTAGCTCTCCATGTAGAAAAGATGTATTTGCGTCCAGTTGCTCAAGCTCCATATCCTTATGTAAAACTATTGCTAGTTACACCCTGATTGAATTATGTCTGACTGCTGGTGACAAAATATCATTATAGTCAACAACTTATTTCTATGTGAAGTCTCTTACAACCAGTCAAACTTTACATTCAATGCCCTCTCCAGATGGAATTCCTTCTATCTTCTTGAAGATCCACTTATTTGTAACAATCTTCCTTCCCTGTAGTCGCTTGACAAGCTGCTAAATCTAATTTCTGTCAAGGGAGTTCATCTCATCTCTCATTGCGGCAAGCCAGATAGTAGCTTCTTCACATGTCACGACTTCTCTGTAGGATCATGGCTCGCGCGTATCCACCTTTTTGGAAACCTAAAAGGCATACATTACCATATCCTCAAAGCCATACCTCCTCAGAGGTATCCCTTCACATATTCTCCTTTGTCTATGGAATCTATACATGATTGAGCTTGTGCGCTGGATCCTGATGACTCTGGCTGATAAAAAACATCCAAATGTTGATCTTCTCCATCTTGGGGTTGTGACTCACTCTCATCTCGAGTAGTGTGTAGATCCACCTATTTATCAACATTCATGCTATCTTCCACAATAGTAACCTTCAACATGGGTTAAACATGGATTTTTCATATAACATCATATTTCTACTAATTATAAATCTATGCTCAGGAGGTGACCAAACTCGATATCCCATAACTCCATCCCTGAAACTCAAAAATACACCATTCTTAGTTCTTGGATTCAATTTAATCTCACCCACATGATAGTAAACATGACAACCAAAAACTTTCAATAAGGAATAGTCAGCAGGATTACTAGACCATGCCTTATAAGGAGTTTGACACTCGATACCTGAGTGAGGTCCACGGTCGATAAGATGGCAAGCATGTTAGTGTCTCTGTCCAGAATTTTCTCTCTAGTCAAGTATTAGAGAACATACATCATGCTCTCTCCAACAATGTCTGATTCATTTGTTCTGTAATGCCATTCTGCTGTGGAGTGTCTCTAATAGTCTGATGACGATCAATCCCTTCATTGATACAGAATTCGTTGAACTCATAACTAAAAAACTCCATATCATTGTCCGTTCGGAACTTCTTGACCTTTTGCCAGTTTGGTTCACCACCAAGACCTTCCTCTACTTGAATTTCTTGAAAGCTTCACTTTTATACTTCATCGTGAATATCAGAGTAAATCTTGAGTAATAATCAATAATAGACACACCAAAAAATATGTTGCCTCCAATGGATTCAACTCTTGAAGGATCCCAACAATTCAAGTAAAGGTAATCCATCACTTCTTATATACGGTGGATACCCTTCTTGGGAAACTTACTGTGATGTAACTTCCAAAAGCAACAATGCTAGCATAATTCCAAACTTTACACCTTGTGCACGTATAAAAGATCTCTCTTGGACAAAATTTTCATCCCTAGTTCACCTTTATGATCCAGTCTCATATGCCAGAGAGTGATCATATCTTCCTTGTGAACCTCAGAAGATGTAACTATAGCAGAACCTGACAACACAAACATTTGTAACGCATAAAAGCTATCATGCTTCATGCCTTTCAGAATCTTCCTTGGACCTTTGCAAACATAAGCAACTACACATTTTTCCTTGAAACTAAAACCCTTTATGTCGAGTAGACTTATAGAAATCAGATTCTTGGTCATCTGTGAAACATGTCTAACTTTGTTCACAAGACAAAATGAACCATCATGTGTTCGCATCTTGATGGACCATATTCCAACCACCTTGCAGACAACTTCATTGGCCATAACTATGTTACCACCATATATATGCTCATAGGTTGCAAAATAGTTCCTATTCGGAGACATATGTAACGAGTCTGTAGTATCCATAAACACACATCTCGTCGATGTGCCTTCTCATCTATAGCCAAGATGAGATCGTCCTCGAAACTGGTGTCTACTTCTGCTGCGGTCGCAGAAGCTTGCTTGTTCTGTTGCCATTTTCTCTTGAGACAATTGGCTTTCCAATGCCTAAGTTCCTTATAGATATGACATGCATTGCCAGAATGTGGACCGAGACCCCTCAAATTCGAGCTCCTAGTCAATTTCTTTGGTCCCTTACCACCTGTAACAGTCAACCGAGATACTTAAATCTCTGTACTAGATCTAGAAGTCTTATGTCTAGTCTCTCTTGTATGAAGAGTAGATCAAACATCCTCAAAATCATACTATTTTTCCTGACAATAAAAGAATCCACAAAATTCCCATATGATTGCGTCAACGAAACTAACAGGATAAGGGGAGCATCTTCATCATCTACTTTGACATCTATGTTACACAAATCTAACAAGATGACATTTAGTTGTTCTAGGTGCTCCCTCAAAGGCATACCTTCCTGCATCCTCAAGCTGAATAAACGTTGCTTGAGATGAAGCTTGTTAGTTACAAACTTCATCATATACAGAATTCTAGCTTCAACCACAAGCACACAACAGTCTTCTAAGCAGCAACTTCAATCATGACGCCATCAGACAATTATAGCATATGGTGGTCGAGCGGGCCTTCAGCTCCAAGGTATTCCACTCCTCGTCATCGAGGCCTATTTTCTTCGGTTTCCCGAATAGCGTCCCCCACAACCCTTGGTGTTTCAATAGCGCCTGTATCTTGATCTAACATTACCGAAGCTTTTATTCCCTATGAACTTTTCGATCTTCGTATTCACTAAAGTCATTTTCGAATATTGAAAAACCTAACTAAAAACAACCAGAGGCTCTGATACCACTTGTACGCATAGGACAGGGGCAATAGACAATAACAAGAAAAGACAACGACCAACAAGAAAGTACAGAACACATGGATTTACATGGTTCACTAACACTAGGGCTGACTATTTGGTCAGGGCTTTTTGGTTTTACCTGAAACCGGACCGTATAACCCGGATCGAGACTGGATCGGGACCGGATAACAAACAATCCAATCTCATATACGGGTTTAGATTTGAGGTAAAAAAAACCATTCGGGACTGGTCCAAAATCGGAACACCGGATAAGAGAGCCCAACACCCAAAACTCCACTAAAATCTCCACAATCTCAATCTAAAATCAAGAAAAAATTGAGACCGGACCAGGTCAAAACTAGACCGGATTAAGACCGGACTATATCCAATACAATCTTTGGTCCTATATTCCTGAAAAGATCGGACTGGGACTGGATCAATTCGGGCCAATTTAACCGGACCGGACCGTATATCCACCCCCTAACTAACACAACTTGTGTTAGCTACTCCACGGGCGATAGAGAGTTAGCTTCACTATACTTGAGGAGATTACAGATCACAAGAGGAGCATGAGAAGTATTTATAGTACTTTTTCAAATGGGCTAACCCTAATCCAATCTGGTAAAGAATAAGATCACAAACCAGGTCCGGTCTGGAAGCCCAAACGTGTAGAAGTTTATACACCGTGGATCTGGTGGACCTTGCTCCCCCAAGCCCCCTAACCGGGCGCTTCGCCCCTGGATCCGGACTCGCTGAGTAGACATTGAAACTCCTGTGAATCAAGTCGGCGACAGATCATCCGATTCATAACCTTTTTCAATTATTTATTACAAAAAAGAGAGAATAAAAATGGAAATGAAGTATATTTATAAAAATTTTATAAAATAAGAAGGAACTTATTTGAGCGCCATTTAATGGCTTGCTCAGATGATCTCTGCAATTTGCAAGGCAGGAGGTAAGAAAAAATAGCGAGAGAATATAGGCCGGTCGGAAGCCGGCACAGCACAGTACTACTAATAGAGGAGAGAATAAATGTGCGGTTTTGGGACCAAAAATTTCATACACAGATTAATTAAATTAACAACACTTGAGTACCCCAAATCTGATTTTGTTTGATTTATTAGATTATTAATCACTAACCACCAACCAAACCAAGCATAGCCACTCCCACACTCTCTCTCATTGCCCCACACCCACAGCACAGCTGCACTGACCTCACTTGCTCGCTACTTGCTCCTTTGCTTTCCCTTCCCTACGCCTTTTTTTCTTTTGTCTCCATCTCCTTCGCTTTCTCGCTTCCCCTTTCACTCTACCAGTCCTCTACCCTCTGAAAATCTCGCTACCTTTCCTTTTTCTCTTTCTCTGCCTTTACTGGGTTACAGGCAAAAAAAAAAGAGTCGCCCTTAAGCACACTCTTTCTGGGCAGCTCTTTCTGCTACTAAAGGTTCATTTTTCAAGCTCAAAACCCGTATTTGCACTAGGGTTTTCACTCCAATGCCCGCATCTTGAATCTCCTCCCATCTGGTTCGTGTTTCGTGCTGCTCTCGGACTTTTGAAGTAATAATGGGTGCAAACGGGAAGAATGTGTTTGTCTGTGGCGTCATATTCATGCTGCTTTTCGCTGCTGCTGGCGTCTCTTCAGCTCCTATTATCAACTCTCCTGCAAGTAAGTGTGGTTTTCTTTCTTTGGTGAAGCTCCCTTGGATTGGATTGATCTGTTCATTTCTGTTTCGGAGCTCTCCCATGTTTGTTGCCATTCCGGGGAAGTATTTACATTCACTATCTCTGCAGGGATCGTTAATGGGGTTTTCTCGAATACTTTGTCTGCTATCATGAAATGGATTTGGTCACTCAAAGCCTCCACGAAGACAGGTTGGTTCAGATCTCTTATTGTATAGGCCACATTTCTGCTGTTACTGTGTATTTTTTTCAGCTGCCGGACTAGTTTCTGTGTTTTTGTTTCGGATCCATCACTCAAAATTAGTGGATTGGTTTTCTGTGCAGCAATGTCTGCTCGTCCATTGATGAAGTTCGAGCCTGGTTACACTGTGGAGACCATGTTCGATGGAAGCAAAGCTGGGATCGATCCTCACTCTGTTGAAGTTCTGCCCAGCGGGGAGCTGTTGATTGTGGACTCAACCAACAGTAACCTTTACAAGATACCTTCTTCCATGTCTCTATGTAAGTTGGTTTTTTCATCCCCTTAGTGATTTGAGTTTGGGATGATAGCGATGGTTTCAATTAAGTAGCCTTTCTTAGTGTCTCAACTTTCTCTTGTGACGTCTGGGCCACTACCAACTCTCTGTTTGTCAAAGAACTTGGTTCTTTGAGGGATAACTTGGTCTCATCACAAACAACTTGATTTCTTGCCCAGTTTTAATTTGGACAAATTTAATGATAGAATTGGCTTGATTGGTTAAAACTGGTGGGAAAATTGCAGACACCAAGCCTAAGCTAGTTGCTGGATCTGCTGAAGGATACTCTGGATATGTTGATGGGAAGCCAGGTGAGGCAAAGATGAATCACCCAAAGGGAGTTGCTGTAGATGACAGAGGAAATATATATGTAGCGGACACCATGAATAATGCCATCAGGAAGATAAGTGATTCAGGTAAGTGTTTGTTTTTGCAGGAGAATGTAACGAACCTTAGCCTTATTTGGTCAACCGGATAACGGATGATTTGCTAATCCTATGTGTCTGCTGACTTCACAAATTACTAGGGGTTACAACTATTGCTGGAGGGAAACGAATCAATGGAGGTAGCCATGTAGATGGAGCAAGTGAAGATGCCAAATTCTCAAATGATTTTGATGTAGTCTATATGGGAAGCAGTTGTTCCCTCCTTGTGATAGACAGAGGAAACAGAGCTATTAGGGAGATCCAGCTCCACTTTGATGACTGCGCATATCAATATGGAAGTGGCTTTCCATTTGGTAAAATATAGTCCATTCCTTGTCATTCCTTCTGTATTGTCAATACAGGATGTTCTAATCCTAATCTTTCCAGCAGAGATCGTGCTTCTTCTAGCAGCTGGCCTTTTTGGTTACATGGTCGCTTTCCTCCAGCGTAGGATGGGGACAATTGTTTCTTCACAGGGCGTAAGTGTTTTAAAACTGATTTTTTTTCCCCACACAGCAATGAGGAGACAGACTGTACCATGAAAGGCTTTCTTGTTGCTTTATACATGTATCAATCTTTGTGCAGGATCAAGGTGTGATGAAGTCTAGCATGGCTGAAACTCCTGGGGCTCCCCAACCACTTAAGTCTGTTAGGCCACCATTGATCCCAACTGAAGATGACCAAGAAAAGCAAGAGGAAACCTTATTTGCATCCCTTGGAAAGCTTTTTGCCAACGCGGGTGCATCTTTCATGGAGATTGTGGGAGGAATAGCACCTGGATTTATGAAGAAGTCAGTTACCTATCATCAGTACCAGAACCAGCAGCAGCAGCAAAGACATTCAGCTGGTTGGCCGAGTCAGGACAGCTTCGTAATACCAGATGAAGATGAGCCTCCCACTGTCGAAGCGAGGACACCTACACCAAGGAGGAAAACATATGCTTTCATGTCTAAAGATGCAGAAAAGATGCACAGGTGGCGGCAGGGTCGCTCATTCTATGGTAGTCAAGATGGCGAGATGCCACAGCAACAACATCAGCAGCAGCAACAACCGCATCCACAACAGCATCAACACCAGCAGCATCCGTATCAGCATCCACATCAGCAGCATTCTTCACAGCCACAGCCGCAACCGCAGCCGCAGAAACAGCCAAAGCAGCATCGCCATCATCGGTATCAATCCACCACCCCTGGTGCTCCATATACCTACTATGAACAGAGCCATGAGAAAACCAATGAGATTGTGTTTGGAGCAGTTCAAGAGCGTGATGTGAAGCATGAAGCTTCAGTGATTAAGCCTGTTGATTATGCGGATCCCATGTACAACCACCACAGCATTCGAGTCCGTTCTACTTCTACCTATGGCAATAATGCCTATTGAAGCCTAGATGAAGTTTGGCAATTTTGGCTAGCAAGTAAACATCTGTCCCTCGTCCATCTGGTGAAGAATGGCAATTTTGGCTAGCTAGTAACATCTGTCCCTCGTCCTTGTGGTTAAGAATGACAATTTTCGCTAGCTTATGGGAAATTTTAGATTAAACTTGGGAATGAGGTTTATTTTCAGATGTTAAAAGTGTTGGAGGGAAGAAGCTGGTGTAGTGCTGTCAAGGTTTTGCTCGTCCTGGTTGAAGCTATGTACTTTATATAGGCGGGTTGCCTAAAGTGACAGTTATTATGATTATGTAAAAGCCATGTTGAAAAATTGTGAAATGCAATTTTGGTATTTGCCCGCATAGAATTTTGCTTGCCGCTTATAATTAGCAGAGAGAGAAATAATACTAGGATAAACATTTTATTACCATTCCACTCAAGGAGAAACAACAAGCTTTTTACTTACACAGATACCAGCAAGAGCAAAGTGATGCAACATTCAGTAACTGCTTCATCTCCTCTTAATTAAACCCAAATTTGCTACCACAGACCCTTCCAGCAGAGCTGGTTCCTTCATTGAGAAAGCAAACCCTCTGATGTTAGCTTCAATCATACTATCTATCCCCCCTGCTACAGATATTGTCTTTGTGTCATCCGCTTCTCCAAACTTGAAATTATCTTCGTCTGTGTTTGATAATAGCCGACTATTATCAGAAGGCATCAGCTCCTTCAACTCACTAGCAAAAACATCCGACTTTGCTGAACTGCTGCTGTTACTCATATCAGAATCAATTAGGGAGACAAAATCCTTGCTGGGAGTGGGAGGTGAACCTACAGGGTTGTTAATCCTAAACATTAGTGAAACATGAGACATGCTCAACAGTAGCAGCCTCCTCAAGAGAGCATATAGCTTCAAACTAGCAGCTCCGTTTCTGATGTCGGAGCAGAGAGTCCAAGCTTCTTTCACCAGCTTGATTATCCAAAGCTTCCATGTCTTGCTGAACCAGAAGGGGTTGTTGCTGGGACGTCCCTGTCTAAAGACATTGTGGGTAAGATAAATAGGTCCCGAAGAAAGCAAACGTTTGTCACTCAAATTTCGCAAGGCACCCAGTCTAGCGGAGGAGACTTACCCTTAGACGTGGGAGGACATAAGGGCGAATCGCAAAACCAACAGCGATGCCAAATACACATGATAGAGCCAGTCCTAGAATCCACCATGGGGCAGCGCCTACCCCTGTTAAGGTTGAATATTTGAACATATCAGTTTGATAGACCGTCAACAAGTTCTCTAGAAATCGACCCAACAAAACTTACCCTGTGAGCCTGGAGAAGCTGTGGTGCAATCTTCAGACTTCAGAGTAATCTGGCGAACCAGTTGGTTTCCATGATCAGCCACCAGCAGCGCACATTGCTGAGCCACGAAAACCAGCTCAAAATCATTTGAGAAAGTTGCATTCTGCGCGGGGCCATCCTTGTTACCTATTTTATTGGAGTACCCTCCAGCGATTGTAGTGACGCCTACAAATAGTCAAATAGTAACGTTTGTGAACTGAAATTAAACCCATAAACTAAAGATCAGAACTCTCCTGAACTGAAATCTCCAGATGCAAGAACAAATGCTTAATTTTCTTACTCACCAGAGCTACTTATCTTTCTGATGGCATGGTTGGCCTTATCAGCGACATAAACATTGCCTTTGAGATCAACGGCGAAGTTCTTAGGTTTATTAAACTGAGCCGAAGTCAACTCCCCATCCGAGAACCCTAACTTCCCATCTCCGGCGAGCGGCCTCAGCACAACCTCTGGGACAATTTTTGCAAACACAAAGGCCCCCAATCTCACAAGGTTAAACTATTGATGGCGAACTCAAACAGAGGAGACTAAAAAGCGGCCTACTTAACTTACCCTTCGAAGAAGTTGGAAACGCGGCCGAGTAGAAGACGCCGGTGGCATAATTGAGGACGACAAGATCGGATGAGTGGGGAAGAGGCAGGACGTGATAAGGGTTTATGTTGAGATCGTGTCCATCGATCACGGTGGTTACGGTGTACCCATCTTCGAGTATGAGGCCGGCTTCAACTGACAAGAAGAGGGAAGCCGTCACCAGAGCAAGGAGAAAGTAGAAGAGCGAGGGAGCGGCAGCCATGGTTCTGTGTTGGGAAACAGAAGACTTCAGCCGGAGAAGGGAAAACAGTCGAAATGATGACTCGAGGGACTGGAACTGAGACTGGACACTGGAGGACTGGGGTGGACGCGAGTTGCGTAGGTTGCGACAATTTTGAGCTAACCCATTTTATTTAGGTTAAATACACTTGTATATCCAAAATTTTCACGGTTGTGCCAATAATATCTAAATTTCCCAAAATACCACTTATATCCAATTCCTTCACATTCTTTAACAGTGTTTTTGGATATACACGTGTATTTAACCAAAAATATATTGAGAAATAGATAGATTTGGCAACGAACAACTTTAAAACATGGATATAATGGTATTTCGGGAAATTTGGATATTACTGGCACAACCGTGAAAGTTTTGGATATACAAGTGTATTAAACCTTTTATTTAATATGTTTGACCGGTTTGGGATGGATCCGACCTATCTAATGAGCGAGATGGGGCAAAATGGGTATTATCAATGATATTATTTGCGATTAGAGACACTTGATATTGTTTGGGCCAATATTACAGTATCGGCTTGGATTGTAGCCCGCGCGATAAGAAGTTTTGGCTTGGACTTGAGTCTTGAGCTTAGTCCGAGACCTTTGATTTTCTCATACAACCAGGAGACCCGGAGTTGACCATTATCAATGGGCTAGAAATTGAGAGCTAGTGAACTTAACAATAGATGGTTTTTCGCGCAACCACGCAATAGGAAATTTACTATTTAAAAATAATGAGATATAAAAATATAAAATAAAAAAATTTGTACCTTAGAGTCACTCCCCACTCAAGCAATAAAATCAAATGAGAGCAACTAAAACCTCGCAAAGAATTGAATTTTCTTGCCACTCTAAGGGAAATTCAATTGGCAATCATAGGGATTACACAAATCTCTGAGCTTATGTCTAGAGTAACTACCATTTGCAGGCAGACACTTAGCACCGGTCCTCCAATAGATGTTCGACTAGGTATCTTGAGGAGCAACTAGATGTCGAAGACCAATAGTGAGTGGCATACTTCACAACATATCCTGTAGCACAACCTCAATAAGGATGAACATTATCAATGAAGTTGAGTTTATGGAGCCCAGATGGAGGAGGATACTAGATTGGAGGCACCATGGAGAGGATTAGAGATGGATGAGTAGTGAAAAACTATAGGGTGTGTGAAACTCACATATCACAGGATAGAATATGCCTCTCAGCGGCGGACTGGTGACTCGCTAAAACACAACTTCTAACAATGACCAAGTGTAACCAATGAAAGAGACGACAATATAGTGATGCAGGTAATAAATATTGAATCCACGAGGTCTCCAGATTTACTATTACTCAGCTTCGATTTGTTATCTAGCAAATTAGACCAATGTTTGATTAGCTAAACTACTACTACAAGCCACTCTAGGTTAGACTACTAATTACAGGTTGGAAACTCACTTAGGTATGATTACCCATAGCCACTAGCCAGATTAATGATTGATGATCTCTAACATATTTTGCTTTCTTTCATAGCGTGGATAATCATTGACTAGACCTTGAATCTCGACTGAAGAAGTCAAGGCCCTCTAGAGTCAATTGCCTAGAGGGGCATATCCTTCTCTAGAACAACCGATCAACACGTTATGAACTAGAATCCCTCTATCAGATGAGGTTCTCAATCAATCTAAAGAATTGAATCGACCCTCAACTAAAGCAATCGATGCAATACTATCAATCTATGGTTCTCTATTGACTTAATCAGGTTCATAGGATCAAAGCAGAATCAATAATCTTGACTCAAGCTGAATTGAATCATGAACTCAAGATTATCATATAAGAGTACTCATACAACCATCCAATCAAACAAATATGGATAGGGTTCCTCAAAACTTAAGTGAAAGGAAGTTACTACATAGAGAAGAGACAGACAACAGTAAGAATCTGCAAATGATCAGTCTTGAAGTCTGAGCTTGTTTCTAGAGATTCCAAGGCTCCAAAAATGCCCTCAAATCGTCCTCTCACTCTTTGGTTCATCCTTTGGGTGTTTGGGGTCCAAAACCAAGCTCCCCCCCCCCTCCAAAAATGCATAAAACGGGCCTTATCCTTGGCCTTATTCTTGAAATGGATTTAGCGACCAAGGATCATCAAAATGGCGCTAGTCACTTTTCTGCGCAAAAGGGGAATTTCCCGATCAGATTTTTCAGATCTCCTATCGGGGAATTGGCACCTCTTGAACGGGGAGTCTTCTGATCGAAATCCCCTATCATATTTCCTAATCCCTTATCGGAGAATAGGATCCTCATGACCGGGGATTTCACAATTTCAGGTCTCCTGTCTTTGTTTCTTCATTTCTCCCTCATCCGAACTCCAAATCAGGTGTCGTTTGATCTGAGATGCTCGTAATCCCGTCCTCTTTTTTCATGACAATACATGACTATTTTCCATAAAATAAGGTAGAAATACATTCTTCCGACTATTCATGCCCGAGTTTCTTCCCCCGATTCGCCAATTGATCTCCGATTGACTTGAAACTTGCGCCTATGCTTCACTTTACGAGCTAGGACTTGAAATGTGACAAAGTAACACAACCTAGCATAAAATAGACCAAAATATTTATACACATGGTGCTATCAAACTCCCCCACACTTAATCATTTGCTTGTCCCCAAGCAAACCCGACTCAATCCAATGCAACTCACTAGACCCTTATAGTAACATGCAACCCGATCGTCGGAAAAGGACTTTCTAGGTAATTTAGCATCTTACAAGGTCAACTAATACAAAGACACCTCATAGCCCCTTCGTCGGGAACTCTAGTCCCGAGTCGGGATCATTCTAAACACTGAACTTAGGATAAACGATTTGTGGACGAAGAGACTCTAGACACAAACATAACCATGGACTCATCTTTTCAGGTGCTCTTTTCCTATCATTAGATTTGCTAGAACCCCTTTTATTTTATTTTATTTTCCTTTCATTTCATTTTTTTCCCGGCGTGGTTCCAACCTACAGTTCCCAAGGTTCGACTCTTATAGGTTGAGCAAGAGTAATTTCAGTATCATTGTCACTTGTCAGAGTACTTCTTTTAACTCCTTTACCACAACTCGTGTGGAGGGTCAATGAAATTAAAGAGGGTTGGAAGTTCTATCCTTGCCCTTAAAAATACATTCGCGTAGAACTTTTACTCGTACTAGAGAGGAAATAGTTTCACCTTGTAGGAGTACCCCACTAAGGCTCAACTAGTGTCTCTTCCAAAACCTGATTTAGTGCAATGAACGACGTCACACACGTTGGGCTTACCCCATGATTCAAATTTTTACATGGAGGACCAACTAGTTCTTATTAGACAAATGCAGAGCACCCAAAACAACACACGAGTCTGAAACACCACGAGAGAGTCATCTATACCACATGATTCGAGTGTCCTAAAATCACTAGTTTACACAAACAACCAACACAATATGAAGAAGAAAGGAGACTTCTCAACGCATCAACATCCTCCATAGTGCTACACTAACCTCCCTAGGCTGCATATTACTCTAAAGACTGGTGATTTAAAGCATACTGAGTAGGCAATTTGCAAGGGGATAATACACTTGGAGCTCTCAAATTTAAAAGTTTGGACAGTGGACTAGGCTCCAAGCACAACATACAACCAAACATTCACACACAAACACAATGGACCCCCCCCCCCCAACTTAAGCATGTCATTGTCCTAAATGAAGGAGATATAAGGAGGGTAGAACGAAGTTACTAGATCAAGTGTGAATGATGGTGGACGGGGCAGGCTGTGCATTCCAGAGAAGGGGAGAGAGCAGTCGGAACACAAACGCCACACAAAATCTCACAAAGGTTGAGTTATTGACTCTAAAATCAAAGAACAAAAATGACTCAATTGAAGAGAAATAGGGAAAGAAATGCAAACTAACAGGTTAAGTTGCCTCCCAACAAGAGCTTCTTTCACGTCGTGAGCTGGACGGTGGATCCTAAGTTTTGGTCCACCCCAAAACCTCCTTAAAGTTGAGGTTCTCGTTGATGAGGTGGAGTGAGAAGTCATGAGTAGGTGGTATGGCATGCAATGTAGTCAAAATCGTGCTTTAAAACTTAAAAACTTACGCTTTTACGCTTTTAGGGCACCAAAACGCTTCTACGCAAAAACTCAGTTTTTATAACTAATGTAGTTAAAAACACCCTTTAAACCTTAAAAATTTACAATTTTACGTTTCTAGATCACCAAAACACTTCTACGTAGAAACACACTTTTGACTACATTGATGTCATGTGATAAAGATGGATCGTGCACTCGAGGAAGATGAAGTCTCCACACGCGAGACCTCTCTTTCGTTTCTTCTCTTATCTCATTGCCCCAAACTAGGTATGACAACATTGATTGAACACCATCACATCTACCAAGAGGGATCAATGACTGTGTGGCCTTGGTATGATAAAGAGACAATGCAAGTAGGTCTCTGCCAAGCAACTCCTCGAAGTTTGGTGGAGATATCACATGAAACTCATGGCCGGTGCAAGCCTCTTCCACCTCAACTACGTGCTCGGCCTGGATGCCAATTTCTTCTTCAACCCTCATTCCTTCTTCAAAATGTTGTCTCTTTTCTTGGAAAAGATCAAGAACTCTTTCTGCTTCACTTTGTCATCCTCCACAACTTCTTCCCTCACCCTTTCTCGCTCTTCTCCTTCCAGCACGGATTGGAGAGCAAGTCGTCATGCAAGGTTCTCAATAAGATCAACTTACATCTCCTCACTCATGCCCGCCTCTTCAATGCTCGGTGTGGGATGTGGAAAGGTGAGATCTGCCACAAATGGACATGCTTGATTATAATCATCACAAGAGCTCACTGTGACAACTTCATTCTACTCCACAATGTTCTCGTAGCCTTCTTCATCCTCCTCTTCTTCTTGTATGGTAGCATAAAGGTGATCTTGAACAAGCTGTGCACAAGCTTGATCAATGACCTCTATGTTCTTCTTCATGCTCTGGAGGGTCTCCTCTGTTTCAAGGAGAAGGGAGAAGTCAATTTGGGCAATGGCGTGGATATGAAGGTCCATCTTGGAGCATGATTTTTCGGCGTCCCAAGAAAACTGCTCCATGAAAAGCTCCAATTGAGTCTTTGGCTCTGGCCGTAGAGTGTAGCAACGCTCTGCAGAATGACCCGTGATGGCCCCTCTGGTTGTGGGAGGAATTCTTCTTGATAGAGAGATGGTTCTTGAGGTGCCCAAGGGTCTGGTTGTTTTCCGAAAAGGGTGGGTGGGGGGGAGGGGGTATTGCAACCCGAATCTATAGTCTTCTCCTCCTTAATTGCTCTAGGAAGTCTCGTGGTAATACCACTCGGGTGGTGGTGGATACCCCCAATCGTTGGAGAAGCCATGAGGATCCATGTTTCAGATATGCACAAAAAAAAAACACCCAATTGAAAAGCAAGGGTGGAAAAGAAAAACAAAAGCTAAATTAACAAATTTCTGCCTTTCTTAATAATCTAGAAAGTCCCCAACAACGACACAAAAAACTTGACTCGCTAAAACACAACTCATAACAATGGTAAAGAGTAACCAATGAAAGAGACGACAATATAATGATGCAGGTAATAAATATCAAATCCACGAGGTCTCTAGATTTACTATTACTCAGCTTCGACTTGTTATCTAGCAAATTAGATCAGGTTTGATTAACTAAACTACTCTGACAAGCTACTCTAGGTTAGACTACTAATTATAGGTTGGGAACTCACTTAGGTATTATTCCCCCTTAGCCACTAACCAGATTAATGATTGATGATCTCTAACCTATTTCGCTTTCATTCACAATGCGGAGAATCCTTGACTATACCTTGAATCTCGACTAAAGAAGTCAAGGCCCTCTTGAGTCGATTGCCTAGAGGGACGTATCTTTCTCTAGAACAACCGATCAATGTGTTCCGAACTAGATTCCCTCTATCAAATGAGGTTCTCAATCGATATAAAGTAGTGAATCGACCCTCAACTAAAGCAATCGATCCAATGTGGAGTAGAACAAAGATGGGGTGACCTCTCGGGAAGTCATCATGACGTCCCCAAAGCAAAACCGTGCAGGGGATAGGCCTAAAGTGGACAATATATTGGTCGGAAAAGGTCAAGATATTACAAGTGGTATCAGAGCCTATCCGCGTCTCTCTTGGGCGATGGTGGGCAAGCCTCAATGATGACGTTGAGTCTCAAATAGGAGTGTATGTAACACTTTAAGCAAATCTCATATCGACAAAGCACATGAGATATCTATGATTGATAAGAAACATTCAACCAACTAACACGACGTGATTTGGTGCGAAATGTATGAGTTTTTTTATAGAACTTTTAAGTTATACGTGCTCCGTGTAAGACATTGCAAAGATGAGGAACCTCTTGAAAAGTCATCAGGACGTGTCCAAAAGCAAAATCGTACGAGTATGGGATCAATCAATATTTTGATATTACCATTTTTTAGATTTTAAAGTTTTGGATTTTATTTGGGATCAATAATATTTTAATATTACCATATTTTAGATTTTAAACTTTTTGGATTTTATTTTTTCATTTGGCTGTTTCTTTTTTCTCGGCTTAATTGCAAGTTTGGTCACTGGAATTGCTTAAAAATTTCATATTTGCCACTAGAATTACTTTATTCTATCCGTAGTCACTTAAATTAGTTCATCAGTTCAAGTTTGGTCACTCTCCGTTAACTTTGACTGATGTGGCAGTCAACTCTGAGAGTTGACCGTTAAACGTATGACGTGGCAATTAAAAAATAATAAAATGTAATATTTTTAATTTTCCACCTCATTAAATGGCGGATGAACCCTGTTACTCCTATGTCGTTCCTCGATTACATGGCGAGGGCATTGAGACTTAAGGACTATCTCTACTTGCAGTTCGTCAGTCGAGAGTTTTTAGTTCCACCGTGAACTCGTATGAAACTCTGCTTCTTTGTTTGACTTTTTGTTCGTTTTTTCTTCTTCTAGATTCTAGTTCATTGTGTTATGCACCATCTGTAGTGGGCGTGACTGCAATGCTTCATATCATCAATGGCGTGGAGCCATCTCTTGGGGCCGAATACCAACACCAGTTGCTAGACATTCTGGGAATCGGCGAGGTATTTTCAATTTTGTCCATAAAAAGAAGCAGCAAAAATCTAGTCTTTTACAATGAGCTAGATATCATAATCTAAAGCGGATTTCGTGAATCTTTGTGATGACAGGGAAAGCTAAATGGTTGCAGTCTACTGGTTATGGAATTGGTATAATTCGGAATCCAAAATGGAAGCCAATGGAAGAAGCGAAGGAAGTTGGATTCGATTCCAGGAAGCCCCAATGGGGTAATGGATTTGAGCTTCAGCTCCGATTGCTCAGACGACTCTGCATCTTCTTCTGTGTCTTCTTCTACAGAGCCCCATCGGGCGAAAAAGAGCAGAGTTGCACAGCAGGGTTCCATCATCATTCCTCCCTATACTTAAAAGGGACACAATCTGATTCCCTCTTGCACTCCTTCCTAGCTCTATAGCTAAATTTCCATGGCTGAGAATAAGGGTTCCCAAATGTTGGGTTTAAGTTATGATGTTCTTCCTCGAGTTTAAATTGCCTACTATCTCTGTTTTGCTACTGGGACAGGAAATGTTGTTGGAATATTTAGGAAGAAGCAATGGCAAAGCAGAGATGGTTGGCATTTTATCCGACCGGGAATCCGGGATGGGGAAGAAAATGGAAATCCAAGTGCATTGAACAATGCGACTGCAGGAGCAGTGAACAATGCGAGCTTTAATGTTCCAGAGCTCTTCCCTTCTCCTTGAACTAATTGCCGCCGATTTCCACTTCTGCAGCGAGAAGGAAAAAATCAGGTTGAATTATAATGATATTTTGTTTTATGTATTTTTTATTATATTGTGATAATGAGGTGGCACTTTTAAAATATTGAGTTTTAATTTTTTTAATTTTTTTAATTGCCACGTCACTTATTTAACGGTCAATTCTCAGAGTTGACTGCCACGTCAGTCAAAGTTAACGGAGACTAACGGAGAGTGACCAAACTTGAACTGATGAACTAATTTAAGTGACTACGGATGGAATAAAGTAATTCTAGTGACAAATATGAAAATTTTGAGCAATTCCAGTGACCAAACTTGCAATTAAGCCCTTTTTTCTCATTCCGGTTTTCATTTGTTTACAGAGAGGCAAAAGTTCGAACAGCACGCACAGTAAATATTCATCTGGTTCTTCTCTCACCCGTCCGTCTCATTTTAAGTGGAGAATTTAAATCAACCAACCAGAAATTACTCCGCTCGTTTCCTTTCTTTCATCAGATCCAAACCTGCAGGCTCTCCCAGATCTCCGAATTTCCTCCCCTTCGGATGTTTTGATTCATCGAATTCGGGGTGAATCCGAGCTCGCTGACTGAATCGGGAGGGAGGAGAGAAAGCACATAGTTGATCGGTCTCTTTCCGCCGCCAAAATTTCGCTTGGATCTGATTGAGCTCTCTGGTGCAAGTTTCCGATAAGGACCCAATCATGAATCCCTTCTCGTCCGGCACGCGTCTCAGGTGAGTGCACATAATCCATCCTTTTTGCACGCTGGCCGTTTCTATGTTGGATCACGCCGAGAGTTAGAAGTCCTGAAGAATTCTTTGCATAATTTGGCAACTTTAGTTGGCTGCTTCCGTGTTAGGATGAAGATAAATGACACTCAATTGCCGTCAGTAGGATTGCACAAATGCAGAGAGTTGTGGTTTTGGGAGTTTCATACACCAGGGAGCTTAGTCGATCGTCGCTGGTACTTTAGGTTTACGGAGGAGGTCTGACATGATTGAAGTTGTGATCCACTTGTTTGTGAAGCTGTTCTTTCTGAAATCTTTGAGCAAAGGAGCAATATAATGGGGAGAAACAAGTGAATGTGCAGTCATTGGATAAGTTTATGGGACAAATTGGGGTTCATACTTGGTGGTGATACTCATTTTCTTCAATTTTGGGGTGATCTGTTGGTAAATTTAAGAGAATCCACAATGTGCTGGGCTGACATACCCATAGACATAGTTATGGTCCCCATAGCTTCTTGTTGAGAATTCATCGAAGAATGAACTCATCTGACTGGAAATGAAGTTTCCTTACGTATTGCTGATGTCATTTAGAACCCTTTCTGCAAGTCATTTTGACTAAATAACTAGCTTTTACTATTTGCATTGTTAGTAACTTTTTAATCTTGTTCTCTTATATGAGATGACGGAACTACTCATCCAATTATATGCTTCCTGACTATGGGTAAAAACTATTGACAGGGAGAAGATATGAGTGTCAATATTGATGTGTGATGTGTGCCAAAACGTTCATTGCAGGGACATGATTCGGGCAATCCGTGCTTGCAAAACTGCAGCAGAGGAGCGCGCCGTTGTTAGAAAAGAGTGTGCTGCTATACGAGCTGCAATTAATGAGAATGATCAAGACTATAGACATCGTAACCTGGCAAAGCTCATGTTTATTCACATGCTTGGCTATCCAACACATTTTGGGCAAATGGAGTGCCTGAAGTTGATTGCATCACCTGGATTTCCTGAGAAGAGAATAGGATATCTTGGTCTGATGCTGCTTCTTGACGAAAGACAGGAAGTCCTAATGCTGGTCACGAACTCTGTAAAACAGTATCCAGTTGATTTATATTTCATGAATTGTTTGAACTTTCTTATGTCGTACAGCACATATCTTCTGTTTGTATTCTTCTTGCAAACTTCTGGCATTCAGCATTGTCATTTTGATATCTGAAACTTGGATTCCTTAACCTAAGCGATAGAGATCTTAACCACACAAACCAGTATATTGTGGGACTTGCCCTTTGTGCTTTGGGGAATATTTGTTCAGCAGAAATGGCCCGGGATCTGGCACCAGAAGTAGAGAGACTGCTGCAATTTCGAGACCCGAATATTCGGAAAAAAGTTAGTTGGGCTTATATTAGTACTTGGTTCAAATCTGTGATCTTTCATTTTGTTGTAATGAACGTATACGTGCTACTTATGCTTTTTCTTAGTTGTTTTTTAACTTACCCAGTCTGTCCTATTCTTTTAACAGGTTGCATGTCATTTGATTGTGTTGTGTACAGGCAGCCTTATGTTCCATAAGGATTATAAAGAAGGTCCCCGATCTGGCAGAAAATTTCATTAATCCTGTTGCAGCTTTACTTAAAGAAAAGCACCATGGTGTATTGATCACAGGAGTTCAACTTTGTACAGATCTCTGTAAAGTCAGTCCCGAGGCCCTGGAATATTTTAGAAAGGTAAATTGTTCTAACTTATTCCGTGTTTCGCTGACAGATAAGCAGTCTATTAATTCATGCTTAGCTTTTGGGGAGGGGTTGATGTTGTCTCTTTAGTCTCATGTGTATCAGCTATTCAGTGTTTGGTGTTTGCTAATATTCTTCTTGGCCAAGTCATTAGACTTTTTTGTTTTTCTTGTTGCTGCTACCTTTACTATATTTTTCTTGTTGGTGCATATTTCTTTCAGCTCTCTATGTCAGAATTCCTTCACCAACTTGTTCTCAGTTAGTCGTATTCTTAAGTTTTCTCCAGAATATCTTGGAATTGTGTGTCCTGCCCGTCCGCAAGCAGTACCTCATTTGTGCAAGTAGCCTATCACAGTCCTTCTGATGCAAATAATTGAATTGTTAGCATTAAAATTGGATGATTGTGCTTTTTTGCACCAGATTATGACAATATTTGCAATAATTGTTGTAGAAATGCACGGATGGTTTGGTCAGGACTTTACGAGATCTGGTCAACAGCCCATATGCACCAGAGTATGACATTGCTGGAATCACAGACCCCTTTCTTCATATTAGACTTCTCAAGCTCTTGCGCGTGCTAGGCCAAGGAGATGCTGATGCTAGTGATTCTATGAATGATATACTTGCTCAGGTTCTGCATTACTGTTTCTACTATATTTCCCCATATTTTGCTCTTTCTTTTATGTGGGCCTAAATAGTCATTATCTGGTATTTGAGGTTTAACTCTACCATTTCATCCTAACGAGATTTTTGTCTTTGGTGAATGTGTACTGATATCTATTCTGTACTCTCTTCATAAAATGTTTTCCAGGTGGCAACAAAGACCGAATCAAACAAAAATGCAGGAAATGCTATTTTGTACGAATGTGTTGAAACCATCATGAGCATTGAAGACAATGGTGGCTTGCGAGTGCTTGCTATTAATATCCTAGGAAGGTTTTTGTCAAATCGTGACAACAATATCAGGTACATTGACAGATTTGATATAGACCATTTCTAACTCCCTTTGTACCTCAAATACTAAGAAAATGTCACCTTTGCCTGATACTATTTTTTCATAGCCGCTCCTTGCACATGGTTTGAACTTACTGGTTTGTTATAGGATCTGACAGCCTTTTTTAATCAATATTAAGTACCGTTAAATTGCAAACTGTGATTGCTATATTGGATCGTAAAATTCTTTCTAAACACATCTATTCCTTTTCATGTGTTTGGTCAAGCATTCTTCAAATAAAATTTGTTTCTCTGGATACACTTGTGCGTTTTAGCTTTTCAAAAAGAAGTAAGAATCTGCTTTTCTCTTTTTTGTGTAAGGGGTGTCAAAAATTACTATTGAGACATTTTTTTAATTGCTGATATTGCCTCTGCTCGGATTCCTGATGGGTTGGATGTCTCCATCCATCCATTAGGCCATTACCATTATGCCAACTCCTTGAGGCTAGTACAGCTAGACCTTTTCGACCACCTTTAGTGCAAAATTAATGGCTTCCACCTGTGTTAATGGGCGGAT